CGAAGGGAGAAAGTCCGTCGCAGTCGAGGACGCAAGGCGCTCACACACCCGGCATTTCAAGCAGCGGAAGCGATAAAAGCTGCACGGACGCCCGAACAGCACCGACAACGACAATGATGCAGCCTCGCACGACACCCCCAAACGTCGATGCGAAGCCAAGTTGTGCGCCTACGACCGACAGCGCCACGACCGAGCGGGAGCGATCTCCGCCTTCTCCTGAACGCCGCCGCCATCTCCCAAAAAAGCCAAAAAAAAAACCCACCTTCGTAGCAACGCTAATACTCAAAAAGTGCACAAACCCAATATTCTTGTCCCGCACGATCTTGACCTGGTCAATGAGCCCAAAGCGCCCGAGCTCGTCACGGAGCGCTTCCTCGGTCATGCCCTCTTCGAGACCGCCGAGGTAGACGTTGCGGGAGGCGCCGCTGAGGAAGGGGGTTAGTAAAGGTAAAGGGAGGAGAGGGAGAAAGAGGATGGGAAGGGAGGAGGGAGGACGCCGGCGCGCGCGGAGTTTCCTCCCATTTCCCACAGAAACACATGAGCGCAGGAGAAGGACGCGACTCTCCGGGAGGACGACGCGCGCGCGGGGATGAGGAACGACGAGGTCCCATCCGTCTCCCGGCGGAAATAAGTCCCCGCGCCCACGCACGCGCACCAAACACGCAGGCCTCCGACCCCGTCTCGTCCGTGCCACGACAAACACAATGACCTATCCTCCGTCATTTCTGTCCTTCTCCCCTGCGCACTCCCCCCCCCGAAAAAACACCACCAAAAACCCTCGAAACACAAAACAAAAACGCACCTCTGCGCAATCGCCTGCATCACCTGCGCGGGCACCGGGCTCGGCTTCCCCCAGCCGACTTTGAGCTCTTGGCCGTGGAGGGAGAGTTTCCTGTTTGGCGTGTGTCAGTGAGAGTAGGGAGGGCAGGGAGAGGGAGAGGAAGGGGGGAAGGAAGGAGAAGGAAGGTGGACACGACGGTGAACCCGCCAGACTCGCGACGGACTGCCCACGCTCCTCTCGCCCGGCTGCAGACGCAGACGCGCGGCGCCGTACGCGTACTGCCCGCAAAAGATCGCGACGGCCGTCCACAGCTCCAGCAGCACCCAAGTGACGCCCGACGACGCTCGCACTCGCGAAAACCCGCCAGGAACGTCCATCGTCCCACCAAGCGCGTACCCATCTCACACCAAACACGCGCGGCTCGGGCTCGGGATTTGTCGGCACCTCGTCGGAGCGCTAACCGTCCTCGACCCTTCCACCTCCCTCCACAAAAAAAACGCTCCCAAAAAAAAAACCGACCACACACCTCAAACTCGCATCCGCAAAAAACGCCGCCGCCGTCGGCGCGTCCAAGAACGACAAAAAGACGCAGGACTTCTCGGGCAGCACGCGGATCGACTCGAGCGGGCCAAAGTGCACTGTGTGGTGGTTTGCGGGTTAGTTTAGATTTGTAAATGGGAGTAAATGTGAGGTGAGTGAATGGGAGTGAATGGGAGGAAATCTGAGTGAATTTGCGTTTTTTGGAAAGGGGGAGGGAGAGAGGGAGGGAGGGGGGGAGGAGAAAGCGAGATGGGATGGGGGGAGACACGACGCCGGAGCGAAGGTACAAGTAGAGTGGGAAGGGGAAAGGGGGGAAGGGAAGAAGGGAGGACGCCCCCGCTTGGACGCATCGGGCGGCGCAAGCAAGACGCAAGACTGCATCGGTCTGCATCTGCAACGGCAGACCAGGACGGACGCACGACGAGTGGCGGAGGCCGGTCCCCCCTCCCCCTCCCCTCCCGCATCCTGCGTGCGCCAAATCGCAGGACTTGGGCGCCCCTCTCCTCCCGTCACCCGTCAGCCGTCACCGTCCACTCCCACTCCCGCCCCCCTCTCTCTCGAAAAAGCGCAACCCCTCGCAAAAAAAACCAAAAAAAAAGGAAGAAACCGACTTACCCAAATTAAGCAGCTCATCCACGCTCGCGCTCGGCGGCAAGTTCCCAATATACACCGTGCGGCCCGCCGTCGGGCCCGCGCCGCCGCCGGGGGACATCACTAGGGGGGCGTCAGCGATCAGTGTTTGAGAGGGGAGAGGGGGGGAGAGAGGGGAGGGGGAGAAGGATAAGAGGGGGGGGAATACGCGAGAATGCGGAAAACGGTGTAAGGCGTAGAGTGTGGAATATGCGAATGCAGAAATCCGAAAGCAAAGAACCAAAAAAAAAAAAAAAAACACGCACTCATCCCACCCATCCCCATCGCGCTCTGCATCCCCCCCATCGCGCTCTGCGGGCTCGCGTACACCGCCTGCGCGGCGGGGATGTTGAGCGACGGCAGCCGCTGCAGGGGCGAGAACCCGCCCTGCTGCTGCTGCTGTTGCTGCTGCTGTTGCTGTTGTTGCTGCTGCTGATGTTGCTGGGCGGGGGACTGGTGCTGGGCGGAGGACTGTGTGGACTGCATGGGGGTTGTTAGTATAGGTGCGAGAGGGGAAGGGGGGAAGGGAAGGGAAGGCGCGAGGAGAAGGCGAAGGTGAAGTAAAGAGTAAAGAGTAAAGAGGCGAAGGGAAGAGTAGGGGAACGGCTGAAGGTACAGGGTACAAGGTAGAAAGTGGGAGGAAAGAGGAAAGAAAGGCGCGAACGCAAGCCCGACCGACTGACACGCTACGCCACGCCATCACGGACATCGGAGGACGCCACGGATGGACGGACATTCTCCGTGATCGGCGTGAGCGCCCACGAGGCCACGCGCTCGGATATATCGCCGCCCACGCCCACGCCCACGCCCACGAGGTCGGATATATCGCCGCCCGGGAGCGAGAAATGACGCCGGTCGCAAGTCGACCAGACCACCCCAAAGAAAAGAAAGAAAAATGCGCGCGCACGAGCGCCCAATGAATCAATACCCAAAAGCTAAAGCCAAGCCAAGGCCCAAAAAAGGCAGACACAGGGAAAAACGACCCGAAAGAAGAACGACCCCAAAGAAGAAAGAATACAGAAGACAAAAAAAAAGGCAGCGAGGCGGCTGGTAGGAATCGCCGTGATAGAGTACCGCCGGGTTCGCATATGCATATGCATGCCGGCGATGGCGACGTCTAGAAACAAAAGAAAAAGAAAAGGAAAGGAAAGAAAACACTGGGGTGGGCGCGCCGAAAGAGGAGGAGGAAAATTGGGCGCGGCGACATCGTCCGCCCGCCGCGTGTGCGTGCGGCCAAAAACGACGCCGGTCCATCGACCAGTCGAGCAGACCACCGCAAACCAAACCAAAGAAAAATGCGCGCTCCGAGCGCCCAAAGAAGAAAAGCGGATCCAAAGCCCAAAAAAGGTAGGGAAAAACGACCCCAAAGAAGAAAGAATCCAAAACCAAAAAAAAGGTAGGGTGGTATGGATCGCCGTGATAGAGTACCATGGCCACCGGGTTCGCATATGCATACCGGCGGTGGCGACGTCCAGTCCAGAAAGAGAGAGAAAAAAATGTAGGTATGCAGTCGAAGTGAAGAAAAGGAAAGGAGAGTAGACAACGCCAGGACCCTCTCCGACCAAGAAAGAAAAGACAAACAAAAAGGGGACGAGGGGCAGGGGAAGAAGGGGAAAGCCGACTCGCGCGGGGCCAGGGCAGACGACGCAAACGCGGATCGGCGTGCGCTGCGAGCCCGCCGCGTGCACATGCGCGGGTGCGGCCGCAACTCCGAAAAAAAGGAGGCCAAAGACGACAAAAGAGCCACCGCAAAAAAAAAAAAAACGTATCGCAGAAACCAAGAACGCAAGCAACACACACCTGGAACCCCTGCCCGCCCCACATGCCATACGGACTAAACTGCGCATACGGGCTGCCCGCCTGCGCCTGCCCCACGACGGGACTCTGCCCGCCAGCGGCCTGCTGCTGCTGGGCCTGCACCTGCGCCTGGAACGCCGCGAGGGTGTTCGGGCTGATCTGGCCGCCCTGCTGGGCGCTGTTCGCGAGGGCGTGGGTGTTGATGCTGAGCTGCGGCGTGGCGTAGAGCTGCTGCTGCTGGGTGTACTGCGCCTGCGCGGCGGTGGCGTTGGGGCCGTAGCCGTAGTTTGCGTACGCGCTGGGGCTGGCGTTGGCGTTGTTGGCGTTGGAGGGGGAGGGGTTGGCGGCCGGGGCGGCGGAGGGGTTGGCGGCGGTGGGGGACCATCTGGCCTTTTTGGAGTCGGGGCCCGCGGGGGTGTCCATTGAGCGCTGCTTGCGTTTCGTCGTGAAAAAGGGCAAGGGTTATCCAAGGGATTGAAGGGAAGCGAACAAAGTGAAGCAAGTGGCGAAAGACGAAGGGGAAAGGGAAAGGAGACAACAAACAAATGAGAACAACGCAATAAGGTGCATAGCAACGGATAATACCTTCATCATGTCGATATCAAACGAGTAGGGCGGGTACGGCGCCGTGGCGGAATAGGCGGCCTGTCCGTCGGGGCCGTGTCCGTGCGTCATTCCAGCGAGTTATATACGATTTATGTACGGTGAAAGGAGGGGTAAACGAAGGCAAGGAGGGTTAAAAGTCAATCAACGAGTGTGTCTTGGAACCAACGAGTGTGTGGGGTGGTGCAATAAAGAGACACGCACAAAGGGAGGGAGGGGAGAAAACAATCGCGCTGAGGGGACACGTCAAAGAACCACACAAAGTCTCTGATGCGCACGGGCCATAGCCTTTCTATTTCTGTTAAGGGTCCTAAGTTACAGGAGCTATGGACGGGATTGCAGGAATGTAGACACCCTCGTTCCCCACCCGATATGTCTTATCGGCGGCAACCACGCGACCTCGCTGTGCGCTGGCAGTACCCAACCCAATCACTCCATCGACGGAACTCACCGCGTACCTATCTCTTGATGCAGGGTCTCCTTGCTTCTCTTGTTCTTGTTGGAGATCTCATTTCTTGTTCCGCCATCTCTGCTCTATACACTTGCATCAAAGAGAAGATAACGAAAAACTCGAGCGATACAACTCTCTCGCACCTCAAGTCTACATACCACCCCCAAAATTAAACAAAACGAAAATCATCTAATCGGATGCCTCCGGTGGGATTCGAATCCACGTCTCCTCATGAAAAATCTACCGCGACGTGAAAGATATAGAGGCGCTCTAACCGTTGAGCTACAAAGGCTTGACACATTTTCTTACTTCTTGCTTTCCATCATGATCACGCCCTTTCTTTGCCTTTGTTTTTGATTTCGACCACCCACACCGACGATTCCAACTAACAACACTCTGTTAAGGACTCCGGAAAGACTGCCAAAAAAAAAACCCTATTTACGGAAGAAGAAGAATTTAATATCCAGGAAAACGAAAAAAAAGCCGACACCGATCGATATTTAATGCCTCGGACGGGAATCGAACCCACGTCTCCTCGTTCACACCTGTTTTAAATTCAAACGCACGCAATCCATGATGCGTCGAGGCGATCCACAGAGGCTGAACGGCAAGTGGGCTCTGGCACTATGCATGCGTGCTTCTCACAGCGAACTTCAGGTTGTGTGAATTATCATAAAGCACACCGACCCCTTCCGGCCTCAAATTCCTTTTCTACATCAGAGTTCGAAAGAAATCGATCAAACCAAAAGCCAAGAAAAAGCTCAACGTTAGAATCGCGAAGTGCCTCCAGTGGGAATCGAACCCACGTCTCCTCGTTAAACTTGGAGCACTGCATATAAGATATCGAGGCGCTCGAACCGTTGAGCTACGGAAGCAGTCCTGCCTTTTGTGTGTGTAAGTATGAGCAGTGGTAGGGGGTATCACTTTCTGATTTCAATCACCCCACGACCCGGGATTGCAATGAACACTCTGTGAGGAGGAAAGAAAGAGAGCGGTATTTAGGGCAGAAGAAGAAGAATTTAATATCCAGGAAAGGGAAAAACATGTTTCACAGATAATCTTCCAGTGCCCCCGCGGGAATCGAACCCACGTCTCCTCGTCAGCACCCGTTTCGAACGCACACAGTGATGCAATACGTCGAGGCGATCCACAGAGGCTGAACGGCAAGCGGGCTCTGGCACTATGTATGCATGCTCCTTACAGCAAGCTTCAGGTTGTATGAATTATTATAAAATAAAGCAGACCGACGCCCTCCCACTCTAACTTCCTTTTCTATACTGAAAGAAAGAAATCAATCAATAAAAAAGCCGAGAAAAAGCAAAACAGCCATGCAATTACCATACGCCCCCAGTGGGATTCGAACCCACGTCTCCTCGTTAAACTCTAGTAGCTGAAATGGAGGATATCGAGGCGCTCTAACCGTTGAGCTACGGGGGCGTCATGCTGCACTCATTTTCTTTTGATCATGCCCTTTCTTTGCCTTTGTTTCAGATTTCAACCACCCACATCCCACACCCGGAGTTCCAAGTTCCAACCAACACTCTGTTGAGGAGCGAAGACTGCCAAAAAAAGGCGGAATGTAGGGCAGCAAAAGAAGAATTTAATATCCAGGAAAACCCAAAAAAAAAAGGCCGACGTGGACCGTTTTTACTGCCTCCGCGGGAATCGAACCCACGTCTCCTCGTCCACACCCGTTTCGAACGCACACAATGCGTCGAGGCGATCCACGTGGGCTCGATGCTAAGTGGGCTCGTATGCATGCTTCTTACAGCGAGCTTTAGGCTGTATGAATTATTATAAAGCACCCACTGCGTTCCGTGGGTTCGTCGGAACAGGGTGTGCCGACCCCCCTCGACGCAGGTCGGCACACCTAGGGTCACACACTGTTTTCTGGTCCATTTCTGCACTTGGACACTGATTTAACGTCGTTATATGGCCCCAGTTCGCGTAATTTTGGATTGTGGTTGAAATAAATCAATTTTCTTGAGTTTGATGGCCAAATTCGGTTGATCCATCAACTGGATCGCTTTGAGGGTTCCTAATGTTTCTATCGATCTCCCACGCCGAAACTTGATACCCCATGGTTTCAGCATGCATTATTTATCGCAGTGTGTTTTTTGGGGGCTGCGAAACAACCTAGTGGCGGTCAAACGGGACGAAGACTCAAATCGGAGTCAAATGCGCTCACGCGTCAAACCCGTGAGAAAGGTCCCACGGTTGACGGAAGCACTTCCCAGGCGCACAAATCCAAAAATAGGACGGTGCCCACAAGCCTTGGACGCTGTGAAGCGGGAAAAAACCCCTACGTCGGCACAGCGTCGGTGCACCCTCGGCCCATGTCAGCACAGAAGTGCCGATCTGGCCTCGGCACAGTGCGTGGACTAGGGTCGGCACATGTCTAACGTACCTCAACCCACGTCAACATAGTGTGCCGACGCGGCCCCGGAACGCAGTGACCGACGCCTTCCACTCCAAATTCCTTTTCTACATGATACATCGCGACTAAATAAAGTCCAATAGCCAGAATTAGAATTAGAAAGAAAAAGGCGAGAAAAAGCAAAGAAGAAGCTCAACACTATTGCGAAATGCCTCCAATGGGAATCGAACCCACGTCTCCTCATAAATCATCTTCCTGCGTGAAGATATCGAGGCGCTCTACTATTAGCGACTGGGTACTGGGCCAGTCGGGCTAGTGAGCCACTTGGATAATACAGGTTGCTATGTTGCGGGAATGCGTGGTTTGGTGCTTGTAGCATGGAGTAGGATGTATGACGGTGTTATTCATCAAATTTCGCGGCAAGGTGATGCGTTGATGAGAAGCTGTGCTCCGTGTGTTTCCGATAGGTAGGTGTGGAATTGATCATTTCTTATCTCCGAACGGACGGCGCGCTCTTCCTTTGCCTGTTCCTCAGCCAATTCTCGGCCGATCCACAGGTTTGAGGGCTTATTTGTTGCCTCTACCTCAAGGAATCGCATTAACCGACGCTGGACACTGAAACGACCCCAAACTCCCCGTTATTCCCTTCAAAGATGGCGAAACCTTCTTCTGGGTGACGCAAGACAAACCAGCACATAACGACCCACTTAACGCTGCTGTGAGCCCAGCGTCTGGTATGTGCAATTTATACATGCATCACAATTACTTGACACCTCAATTCCGCCTTTCACCATTCAGGTTCGCGTTCGCTGAGGGTCACTCCAGCGAACTAGCCAATTTCAGTGTCGGAAATAAATGGATTTTGTTCGGAGGGTTACTGCTATGGAAGGGCTGTCCAATTTACCTAGGTATGTGCCATTGCTTCTTATCCATACCTTCAGCACTTAATTCTGCCCAATATTGGTCCCACTGCTTTGTAGCACACGCAATTTCGTCAATACCTCTATTTCCACCATCCTCCCTGGCAGGAAGGCCTAGTAATTATACCCCTTTTACCCTTTTAATCTCCATCTTGAGGGTGTAGAATTATGTCTTTGAATCCCCTGAGTGGTTACAAGTGCACTGGGCTGCATGTTACAAGTCCCAACAGCTTATTTAGGCCGGTGGCCCACTAGCCCATTTATTGCCATTTTGGGGTACCGCCCAAAATAAATTCGTTGTGAGCTGAAAATATGACCTAAAATTGCCCGAAAATATCCCATCTCACTCTCAATATGTCTATCCTAACACAAGGGTCCAGGCCCGGAGAGATCTTGCTCTCTACGAGCTGGCCAGCGGCTAAAAGTGTCAAGGTGGCCCAGTACCCGGTGACTAATAGTAACCGCTGAGCTACAGAAGTGTGTCACTCTGCCTGCCTTTTACTCTGTACATATGTATGAACAGTGGTAGGCGGTATCACCTTCTTATTTCAACCACGGCCCGGGATTCCAAGTAAGCCTCGTGCTAGTTGAACGTTGAGGAGGAAAGACTGCAAAACAAAGCGGAATGTAGGGAAGAAGAAGAATTAATATCCAGGACAAGGGAAAAAATGTTCTATGGTGCGCATCACCTAGCTGCCACCACCCCGTGCTTGAAATCTGGCGGCTTCAAAAAACCCTATTTTTCTTATCCCTCTAGTAGAAATGTTCCTTTTGACAATAGGAAGACATCTGTTAACTCAGATTTTTAATTACTTCAAAACTGAGGGAGCTCGAAATTTTTGGTCGGACCGATTTGGCCACCAGTGCAAAATATATTAAAAAATGGGTCGTTCGAGTCGTAAGTAGGCTTAAACTGTTGTCTCGATATTCATTCAAGGTTTACCGAGGAGTTGTGAGGAAATTTCGGGTCAGGGTTGAGATGAAAAGGCTTGCAAAATCGGCCCGATAGGTACACTTAATTCAAAAAAAAAATCTCTGGCCGATTTGGCCACTAAATTTTGGTGGCGGTGGCTAGGTGATGCGCACCATAGATGGACAGTTCTAATGCCTCCGCGGGAATCGAACCCACGTCTCCTCATCAGCTGTTTCGAACGCACGTAATCTGTCGAGGCGATCCACAGGGGCTCGATGCCAAGTGGGCTCTGGCACTCTGTGTATGCATGCATCCTACAGCCCCAATCCACGCTGTATAAAGCACACCGACACCTTCCCACTCTTAAGGTAGGGCCATACAAATCCCGCCAACGTCACATGACCCTTCCATATATGGGCAATTTCTGCGAAACAAATCTAGCAAATAATCCACTGAGAGTCTTTTCCCTAGTCCACCCATGAATCATTAGGTTTACATGCTATGATTGTTCCTATGAGACAGATAAGGCCCTAGACACGAATTGAATGAGAAGATGTTCTCACAAGCTGAGGCACAATTGCCATCAATATTTGATGCCAAAAGGTGTCCGATGTTGCGAGAACATCTCCTCAGGCGAACTTGAGGGTTTGGTTAGGAGGAACATAGGATGCATATCTGCATATTCATGGAAAGACTAAGGACAAAATTGCTTACAAATTCTACGATGAATTGTTTTGAGAAATTGCATATATAAGGAAAGTTCACGTGATGTTGGCGGAATTTGTATGGCCCCTACCAAGGGGTGGTGAAAACAAAACCTTCGGACATCAACCCCCAAAAACCTCCCATCAAAGACCCTGAAAACTAGACCAACCACCAGCACCCGTGGGACTGTCTCACGGCCCTAAATGCGGCTGATAAGTGATTTCCAAAGCCAAATGCCGTGATGTACTTTTGTCTAGCCGCTACCAACTTTTCCAACATAGGTGATAACACTCCAGAAGACTCAGAGTGCAGTGGCCAAAAGCTCTGGTAATGCCACATGTATTGTATACATTTTTCTTGGTGCATGGAGGCTCAAGACACCTAGGAAAAATAAAATGTGTTTCCGACGCCGAAACGGGAAGAGGAAGGACCCCTGGAACACATCACGTGCAGCAGGAGGTCTATATCCGGTATTCGACTTTCGGCTACCCCTTGGCCCCTACCTTATAACTTCCTTTTCTACATCAGAGTTTGAAAGAAATCAATCAAACAAAAAGCCAAGAAAAAGCTAAACGCTATGATCGCGAACACCTCCAGTAGGAATTGAACCCACGTCTCCTCATTAATGTTCATCCTGATGCAAGATATCGAGACACTCTAACCGCTGAGCTACGGAGGCATGATGGCACATTTCCATCCTGCCTACTCCGAGTCTCTTGATGTTAGTATGCATCCTGATCCCCGCAGGCATCATATCCCGATCAGTCCCTTTCTTTGCCTTTGTTCAACCAACCACACAAGGGATTCCAAGTACATAAAAGAGTACGAGTTGAGGAGGAAAGAACAGGGAGGGAATTTAAATTAAGTTCGGAGTTTGAATTTTGAGAGAATTTTCGACAGCGTAGAATCAAACTCAACGGTTTCATTCAAGGACCACTCAGATATGGTGTGAAAATATGGGTTATGGGATAACCGGGAAACTGACCGGGATCAAAACCGGCGGCAAATCGGCATGCCAGCGGAGTTCAGATTCCACCACCCCTTTCCAACCCCTTTCTTCAGTTCACCTCGCCCAAACCCCTGTTATGCCTCCCTCTTTGCACTACAACACCTCGTGCCTGGGCTACATGGCATACCTCATAATACATTGCAGACTCGCAACGCTGCTCACACGACCGCATTTTCTCGAGCGCCTGGCTTGCACTACATGAAGGCACACACTCGTTCAGCACTGTGGCCATCAAGACTCTGTATCATCTTGTCTCACAGCCATTTACTCTCCTTGGCCCAAACGTAGCTCGAGTACTTAGTTTCTCCCCGGTCCTCAGTATCTTTGTCCCCGCTGAGCTGACATCGGGTTTGAATCAGGTTGGAAATTCAAAACTCACTTTGAGGGGGACCTCGAAGTATGATCCATGTGTGCTTGGAAGGGTGTTGCGGACTTGTGGCCTGCTTGTAAATAGGGGTCTCCGCTCTTGCTTTGGGTAATGTGACTGTAGAAAAATGATCGCCGGGCAATCACCGAGACTAAATTACCTAATCCCCATCAGGCACCCCGTTTGATCCCAGTTTACGATCACCGGTTTTCCCATTTCCCTTTTCTTCTTGATATGGTTGCCTATTGTATGTCCACCAATTTTTTCTTCGAGTTTAGGGGATCAGGATGTTCACTTGGGTGGAATTTATTTTATTGCTGACCAATCACAGCCTATTTCCCGGGTGATCTGGCGGCTGTTGCTCGACGATGAGTTTCGGCTCTGGTGTCATATGTACACAAAGTTTGGGAGTTGAGAATACCGGAATACCGGGAGGCTGTGTTCACCGGCGGCAACGCGGCAACCGAAAGCGGAGTTTGATAGGTGTGATGTCGTTGATGTCTCCCATTGGGATCGCTGCAGGGCTTTCTCGCTGGCCGATTGTCACTTGTTCATGATGAATGGTAAAAAATGATATTATACGGCCTCTGAGATATTCTGCTGAGTCTGTGCATCTATTATTTCCAGAGTTATGTACTGACTACTTTTCATCCTGCAAGCCACTTGAGAGTTGGAGTCGGGATAGTGCTGGAAAAGCACGGGAAAAGTCTTGAAGCTCTTCACTTAAAATAAAATCATGATGTAAGGGAAGCAATATTTTTTCCTGTTCTTCCCCCATATCTCAAGTAGCAAGCACGCGACTCTTGGATAAGGACCACCATCATGGTGATCCAGTGTCTTGCCTCTCCATGGCCCAAGAGACTAGTACCCTCCGGGGGAAGCGAAAAGACGTCCTCTACCTGGGAACCTGGGAGGTGAACTGCCTCGCAGTCAGCGAGTGTGGCGGCTAAGCTGCCCGAACCGGCACAGTCAGTGGCACGAAGAGGCAAAATGCCTGTAGCTCATTTAAATGACACACATATATACCTTCTAAAATGGTACAGAGGACTGCATAGTGTCCTGGAAGAATCCCACTGAGACCCTGGAGCGACTCCGCTACCTACACACGAAAGAGCTCGACGCCGCCAAGTGGCTTGCGATGTATTGATCACAAAATTGATGTGGGCAAAACCAGCTTATGAATCTTACCATAACGCCTCCTGTCCACCGTGACAAGGAAGCAATCCGCCGATGCAATCCAACGATGACACTGTCCTTGCGCGCCCTCAACTGTGAGCCACTCACCAGAACCCGAAGCCACACCCGATTGCCAAAATGGGACGAGTCAACGAAAATAAAGCGGAGACAAAGAGCGAATGTGAAGCTCAAAGAACACTTGGCGCAGGGTTATTAAGCCTCATGGGTGAACTACGCTTGCCGGTTTTTCTCCTTCCTTACCACTGATGCGCTCACGGCGCGTCTGAGAGCTAGAGCTGACACAACAAACATCAAACTCAACGCTCCAACAGCCATGAAACGGGGGTGCGAGTGGGTCACTCCATGTTCAGTACTCAGCTGGTAAGCCGCGCAAGGAAACGGGATGGGAACTGTGGCGGATACGGTGGCGTGGACGTGGACGACGAAGGACAGAACGATGGCGACGAAGGACGTGACATAGGCGGTGGGCATCGAGGGCGACGAGGGACCAAAGGGCGAAATGCGAAATATGAAGGGTGAGATGTATTGCTGGTGGGCAACAAACTGGAGAGTACAAGAAAGTAGATGGGGTTTTATAGTAATTGGATAGCGGTGGGAAAGTGAGTCAAGATTCCGACGGAAAATGAGGTAATAGTCCGTAGGAACCACGGAGAGTACATATGAAAGAAAGTCCGTAGACTAAAGGAGTTAAACATTCACGGAAAATGTCCAAAAGCAGCCACGGAAGCCGTGCCTCGGGCCGTGTGCAATTCCGTAGGACTTTCGGTAGTTGCGGTATTGCCGTGGTGAACTGTGGAAATTGGAGCCGTATATCTGTGGTGTCAATCGTGTCCGTACGCGCCCAGCGCGAGCTGGTGCGCATCACCACCCTCTATTGCCACTTTGCTGCAAACTTTGTAGTATGTTGTGTCGTGCAACGAGCCTTTTCAGCCGTACACTGACCCAATACAGCAGTGTCTGACACAAACCCTGATGTTCTGGTTGACGAACATACTTCAAAGAAACGCAGGGCCGACGAAGGCTCTATCAGCACTGCTCATGACGATGAGGAACGTGTTCGCAACGAGCTCTCTACCCAGCAAACCATCAACGAGTCGACTCCCGCCCACTTCGCCCACTCCCCTTATCACCCCTGCAGTCAAGGCAATGAACTCTGCGCTGTACATGCTGCCCGACCCGGACGATATGACCGGCCTCCCCATCGACACCAACCAAAATTCAAACACTCAATCGGCAAAGGGTGACCCCGAGCCCGACACCATCCCCTGCGTCAAACACATCACGGTCCCCTTCACCCTCGCCACCTACCCCCGCATCATTATGCCCTTCCCGAGGCTGACACAGAACATGAACCCAGCCCAAGTCGAGGGCATCAAGGCGGCGCCTACGGAATATATTGCGGTGCTCCCCCACGGCGCTGGGCGCAGCTTCTACCAGCGAGGTGCAGTCCTTCATCGAGACACTCAACCTCGACACTGACAGTATTGATATCGCCTTACACATCGCACACCACGCTGAGAAAAAGCCTCGCGACTTTGATGGGCTATGGCCCATGATTCTCAGCGGTGCCAGCTTGGAACTTTGGGTACCAGGTCTTCGCCGTCAACAAGACCCCACCTGTCCTTCCCAACTAACAAAGGCAATTAGCATAACCTTGTACCCCCTAAGGTTATGCTAACTGCCTACAGGTTGGCCCATGTACACCTCTATAGGGACTCCGGTGCCTTAAAAGGGGACAAAAGGGGGACAAAAGAGGTACTTTTTACCCTTTTGAGAACACTGAGCATGGAGGTGGTGTACCTGGCGGTGTATAGGGGACACCATGTGGGTAAAGGGGGACATTTTACCCTTTTGAGAACACTGAGCGTGGAGGTGGTGTACCTGGTGGTGTATAGGGGACACCATGAGGGTAATGGGGGACATTTTACCCTTTTAAGAACACTGAGCGTGGAGGTGGTGTACCTGGTGGTGTATAGGGGACACCATGTGGGTAAAGGGGGACAAAAGTGTAGATGGGGTATCTGGCGGTGTATCTGGTGGTGTATGGGAGACACCATGGGGGTAAAGGGGGACAGAAGCATAGGTAGGCACAGTGGACGGGGTACAGGGTGTGTTTTGGGTAGACAACTGGTTTAGCAGAGGTGTGTGGGGTACTCCAGACCATTAGGGGAGACAAATGGGTGATACGCGCAGCGTGTGGGGTACACCAGAGCATTAGGGTAGACGGATGGGTGATACATGCAGTGTATGGGGTACACTGCACGAGTTAGGTAGATGAGTGGGTGATGTGTGCAGTGTGTGGGGTACACCAGAGCATTAGGGTAGACAACCGTTATCTGGGGTACACCACCGTGGTAGGGGGTACATTATGCACTTCTTGTCCCAAAAAGGTACCAACATCAATCACTCTTAGGCTCATTATTCAACCGTTTTAACCCTGTATGCAAGTTCTTATAGGTTCTTCAAAGTCAAGTGCACAGTAGAGCCTGTTACAGTGCAATGATAGGGTGAAAATAAGGGAAACTAATAACTTGTGTTCTGACCACACTGCATGTTTGGTTGCCTCCCCTTGTCCCCTTGGGCACCTCCAGGTGGCGTGCAAGATTATGATGACAAGAAACTTGCAATTTGGCCATGCAAGGGAATTTCAATTTAGGCCTATGATACACTCCTCCATGGTGTTATATATCCGAAAACAGTCTTTTGGGGCTTTATCAGGTAAGTACAGTCAAAAAATTGTACAATTGATGCTTCGGACACCCCCATACTTCCTGATGTAATGTAATCTTGTGTTATACTCTTTTTTGCTATATTCAGAATGCCACAAGGTCATAGATGATGGTCTAAAGGCTCTTATTGGGGCTCTTGGGCTATGTGAAGAGTCTTCAGCTGAAAAGTTGGCCAATACATCATGAAAAAGGTAACCTTTTCTCATGTGGTGTGTAAGGTACAGGGTACAGTTGTCCATGGTGTACAGGGTACATTGGAACTTGTTCGGGGTACAGGGTACTGCTGTGAGTAGTGCATAGGGTACATTTCCTTTTTGGACGCTACCACTTCTTGTCCCAAAAAGGAAATTATTGACATCAACCCCTCCCTGGCTCAT